GCTCTCCTGAAGGTGGCTGAACCCCTGCCTGCCCATGGGAAGCAGTGAATGAATTCCTGGTTTGCTTTGCTTACACGCACTGCTTTTGCTTTACCTGTTAAGCTGACATTACCTCAACCCATGAGTCTTCTCACCTTCACCCTTCAATTCTTTCCCCCATTGAACCTAGGGTGAGGTAAGGGGGAGAGGGCCACGTGGTGCCTAATTGCAAGCTGTCCTGGGTTCAGCAGTAGCAGTCATTTTTTCTCCTTCTTAGTAGCTGGTGCAGTGCTGTGGTTTTGACTTTCAGCCTGGGAACAGTGCTGATAACACCAATGGTTTTACTTGCTGCTCAGTACTGTTTACCCTGACCAAGGACTTTGTGAGCCTCATGCTCTGCCAGGGAGGAGGGGAAGCTGGGAGGAAGCAGAGACAGGACACCTGACCCAAACTAGCCAAAGAGGTATTCCATACCACAGCACGTCATGCCCAGGATGTAAACTGGGGGCAGTTGCCCAGAAGGGGGAGTGCACTGCTCAGGTCTGCCTGGGTATCAATCGGCGGGTTGTAAGCCGTTGTATTCTCTTCCCTTGTTATTTCCCTTATTATTATTATTATTGGTGGTAGCAGCAGTGGTTTGCGTTATACCTTAGTTACTGGACTGCTCTTATCTCAACCCGTGGGAGTTACATTCTTTTGATTCTTCTCTCCATCCCTCTAGGAGCTGGGGGGAGGAAGGGGGGAGAATGCGAGAGTGGCTGTGTGGTGCTGAGTTACGGGCTGGGCTTAAACCACGACACCAGCTGATGTTAAGCCATGACATCCAGGTATCAATGACATTGTAACTTACTGTCTTGTAGACTATTGCCAAGTGAAAATACAAAACAAAATCACAGTCTTCATTGTGTGAGTTCATGCAAATTTAAAGAGTACTTGTCTAAATGTAAGTCCAACAGTAAAAGATTTACTGGAGAGTAAAATCGTAACACAAAGTGGCACAAAACTTGATTACTTCAAGAATACGTGCATAGGCAACTGATGGCAGCTGATGAGTCAGTGTTAGTGTGCTTGCCATCCCTCCTGTATGCATCTCACAGCTTTTTGGTGACAACTCTCACACCCTGACATACAGAAATATGCATCTACTGAAATACTATTGAGCCTTATTCAGTCTTGTACAGAAATTTTTCACTGAAAATACAAGAGAGAGAACAAATTATCATTGGTCTGTCATGGATAGGTCCTGAGAAACATCTTGGATACTCATCTAGAATCCCTGTGATTTCCTTACATTGTGTGTCAGTCATGTAACTGATTAATATTGAACTTCATTTAATTGCTCCTATTTAATTTTTTTTTTTCCTTTATATCTATTTAAAGACCAGGGTAGGCAATCTGGACATCTGTAACCTTGCAATGAATTTGACAACCAAGCTAAGCTACTGCAGTTTTCAGCTGTAAAAATGTTTCATTTTTCCTTTCCATATGTGTATATATGAGGTGTTCAGACTGAATCTAGGCAAGTGTGATTAACCACAAAGATATCCCAAAACTACTTCTTCGTATTGATGAAGATATTTGAGAAACTGGTGTTTAAAAGAATTTTCTTTTGAAGATTACGTACAAACAGAAATCAAGAAGATTCAAATCTAACTCTTTATTTTGTTCTAAACTCATTGTAGATTAGATTTACTGTGAGGCTGAGGGGTACTTAAATGATGCTATAAAACATTCACAAAATGCCACCTAATTTGGTAGTCTCTTAAACTCCTTCGACCTGTGTGTTCTGCAGCACCATACACACACAGAGAATAATGTCCTAACAAAGTCAAACTGCTTAGCACCTGTTTTTCAGCTAGAGCCTGTCAAAATTTGGTAGCTATTCATAACCATTCCCACTTCTGGGGTTTAATATGTTGACATGCTCAGATTGTGTCTAGCCTCACCTAAGGCTCAGGTATGGAGGAAGTGACTGTCCTCCTTTCTCCACCATGTCGAACATTCACCCAACTTGTGGGAAAGGCAACTCTGTGAGACTCATAAAGAACTTGAATTCAGATCCTTACCTTACAGTAAGTCACTTGATCAGTAGGCCTTGAAGTATTCAGAGATCAGCACTCTCGTTTTGGTTGCGGTCCTCTGCCTTTCTGTTGTGATGAGTAAAAGACAAGCAGTTCACTGACATTTGGAGAGAAGAGTTATGTTCCTAGGAGGTTCTTCACATTGGGTGACTTTTCATGCTGTTAGACAGCAACAGAACAGGGATCTTACAGCGTACAAGAGCTCACTCATTTCATCTTGGACGGCCTGTGTTTTTACTCCAGGAACATGCTAGATTAGCATGTTCTAAATGGGAATGTAAATGATGTTTGCCTTTATTGTGCAAGGTTGCACCAGTCTAGCTTTTGGGACAGCAGCTCTCCCTGACTATGTTCAGTTCAAATACAGGGATTAACTGCAATTTGAAGTTTTGCTATTAGTCTGTACATGTTTATGTTAAAAGTAAGTGTGATTACAGGACTTGTATAGTGATAATAAGGATAAGAAACCCCTGCTAACTGAAATCAACAAATATCTTTAAAACCAAAGTGTTTCTATGCTAAGTCCTTGCTTCCTGGTAACTGGTAACTTCAGAAAGAGCTTCCCACTATTCCAGGACAGAAAGTTCCTTGCAGTCATGTTCGTAAATAGTATGGAAATTTAGAGCTAGGAAATCAAGAGTTTGTATTTTTAAAAGGGAACGTATTGAAATTCAAAGGGTTGCCTCATAAGGGTTCAGTTTATGACAGCAGTGTATAAACAGGCTAAGAATAATATATAGGTTCATTACAGGATCTGGCAAGGTCTGGGAAGGTTTTTAGCATGCCATGGAGAAAATGGTCTTTGAAGAACTGGAGAACAAAGTTTTAAATAGATTTGTCTAAAGTGTCTTACCTTATAGTTGGGGAATGGTGGGAAGAACAGATTTATATTTTTCTTAATGTCTTTTTGATGGGTTTACACACACACAAAAATGATAAAGCAATTGTTGGAAAACAAAGAAGTTTTGACTGGTGAATGAGAATTTTGAGCTAATGACCAGGTATGGTATAAAGATTTCTGTTGGACTCCTCTTTTATTCAGTTATAATAATCTAAAGCAGAAAGCAGTTCTTTTAGTTCAGCCAAATAATTAAAAAGAACACTCCAGCAGAGCCTGCTCTTGGTATTGATGGGGTAAATTGCTGCTAGAGTTACTCTAAATTTTTCTTTCCTAAGAGAATGTTTTTACTATATTTTTACCATATAGTTCTTTTTATAGTGTTTTACAGTATGTTTTTTAAATATTAAAATACCACTGTCAGATAAATTACAATGAACGTTAACTTTATGTGGAGCACGAGCCATTTTTGAATAAGGCTATAAATGTTGTTAATTCTTACACTGCTTTAATTTTACTTGCTCTGTCCCTGAAGGTTTTACCATATACCAGAAAGAAATCACAGAGAAACTTATCTTGCGGTGTCAGCTAGAAGTACTTCATTTGTTCTGTATCTTGCTGTCATTGTATTCAGATAAGCCCTATTAGTTCAGAGACATTTAGTTTGCATGGATTAATAAAATTCAGGAAAGGAATTTTCTAATGAATCTCAAAAGCAAATCAGAGTACGAATCAGGCTTACTTAGATGCAGAGGATGTTCTGAGAAGAAACATTACCTTATGTTGATGATAATCAGATGTATATTGTCCTCCAGCTTATTACAGAGTGAATCTCTGCATTTTGCAGTTAGTGTTCTATAAAAAGAATATTACAAAACTTGATTATCTTGTTTTTACAAACAAAGCAATAAGAGCACCCTAGTTTCTCAATATGATCCACTGAGATGTTGTTCTGTTGGTGGGATAAGAAGTTATTGGGCAGCTGTGGAAATGCAGAATAGACTAAGCCTGTACTCCACTACAACATCTGCATATGAATTTGTGTGGATTGAGTTGTAAGAAGAATTTTAAAAGCAAAAAGAATACGGAAAAATTTGCCCCCAGCCTTTTCATACTCTATAATGTTAAATACCAATAAAATATATCTCTTTAGTCTCATCTACTCAGGATTTTTCCTTATGTCTTTTTTTATTATTATTTTATGTTATAATTTGTGACAGCTAATTTAAATAATTATTATTTGAATAAGTTCTTATGCAACAAAATAGGTAATTCTCTTTCCTGTAAAATGCAATCAGAAATAAACTTTGTGGGTCATAAGCCAGAACTGGCTTTCATGGAACAGAAATAGTCTTATATAGGTCTACAGTATTACTGCAGAAAGCCACACGTTGCCATATCTATTCCATGAGCTGCTTCGCTTCAGGTCAGCTCCACTTCAGGGTTATGTGCTATGCTTTTGCACGTACTTATTATCACACCAACACAGCAAAGCTTCCAGTCCCAAGGTAGTGCAAAACCAGCTGTGAGATAGGACAGAGCAAGCTCCTGGCTGTTTGCCCCCATACGTATGCATGTAAGACCTGACCTTAAAGCTTAGGTAGGAATTGCTAGCTGATTAAGCAGTATGATGACAGCTGAAAGTTCAGATGCCTTTCAAATGCAAAGTTCAATAAATCAGGAGTAATTTGAACCATTCAAGCACATTAGGAGGTTCTGAACTAACAGGAAAAAAAGCATGGGTACCAATGTGAACAGCTGAAAAAAAACTTCTGTTCAACATCCATCATTAATCAAAAACCCATGTGAAAATCCATTAAAAAAATGTGAATGAAAATAATTTGTTCAACAGACAGAAGACCATATCATATAGAGTCAGCAGGAAAGCAATGTACTTAATACTCTGTAGTATTTGCTTAACACTGTGATGAAGATAACATACATTTACCAGTATTTTTCCATGGTTTAAGACTGAGAAATTAGACCAACTAAGCTTAAAAATTGCGTGGGCCACTGAATTTCCTTTTTTAATTCTCACCATTAGAAACAGCATTCACTAAAACCAGGAAAAAATTAATTGTTGCTTTTTTTCTACTGCACAGAACCTGAAGCGTGTGGCAGAGACTTGGATGGATGAGTTCGCAGAGTACATTTACCAGCGACGGCCTGAGTATAGACATCTCTCCACTGGTGATATCTCTGCCCAGAAGGAACTTCGCAAGCACCTGAAATGTAAAGATTTCAAGTGGTTCATGGCTGCAGTGGCTTGGGATGTCCCCAAATACTACCCTCCTGTGGAGCCTCCACCTGCTGCCTGGGGAGAGGTAAGGAACACACAAATTGGATCAAATTTAAGTCTAACATTTTACATTGCAGAAAATTAAAGTTATGAAACAAGATTTAGTTCCTATGATAAATAGCGTTATTAAGGGAGTTCACAGTGGTTGGAACTAGCCATTAAAATGAGAAAACATCATGTCCTAGCACTATGCTGTCCCTTTTATAATTCATTACAATTTTGTGTGTACAGGCCATAAGATGCATGGACAATGAACACATGAATGGGGGAAAGAATGTGTAGCACTCATTATTGCATGTCACAAGACGATTTTAGATGTTGAAAATCACCTTAGTAAAAAGGAGCTCTGAAGTCAACACTATTTTTATGTGTCCACTTTCATACCTCCTCCTGTTCTTACTAGGACAATTGTATGTAGGGAGAGTTAGGTTTGCTCTGTTTTGCTCACATGTGCAAGTGTGACAATCGAAGTCTGGATACTTTTCCTTTAAAAGAACTGGTTTTGCTCAGCTTTTCATCTGCATTCTATACGTACTGTCATGACTGAGTACCAGTAGCAGACAAACAAAATTTCTCATTTGGGGGATGAGGGAGGGGGGAGACCACCAAAGAGAAGCCAGAATCTGAGCATCACTCCAGAGTAGGGGCAAGCAAACAGCCTGATGGAGCTCTCCACCTGTGATCAAAGATGTTCTTCATTCAGTCCTCTCTGAAGAGGAAAGCTGTAGCACATCTTGCTTTGACAGTTTGTTTTGTGTAGAAGAAATGAAAACACAAATAGTGCAGGGACAGAAAATTACTTCCATAGCTCTGCTGAAATCTGCAGTAGCCTTTTACCCCAAGGAGCTACAGTTCATTCACTCCATGGAAATTTGGCACTGCAGAGGGTTTTTGCCTCTCAATTCATTAAGGTTTATAAGGAAGGCTTTGCTTTTTCAGTGTATTGTGCTACTTTTAAAAACATCATAGGAATATCTGTACCGTGAATTCTGGCCTTCTCTGCTTTTGCTGGAGGTATTCTTGGGGCTGAAGTTGAAACTTTGACCAAAACATTTGGTAAGACTCCTCACACCTGTGCGTATCCACAGTAGTCAAGGCTGGACCATGCAGGGGGTTTCTATACAGGTGCTTCTACTGTTCTCCAGAATATCTTTTTTAAAAAGCAAATTACCTCATCCCAAATTTAATAATAGCTCCCTGTGGTAGTAGCAGTCCTTAAGTCCTCTTTGTAAGCTACCAATTACAGATGTTCAAAGGAAATTCAGTTTGTGTCTTACTGTTTGCTACTTTTTGTCAATAATGAATTCCTTTGCTGTTAAAGTTGTTTTTACCTTTTACCTTTGCCACTGTCCACACTTTATGGGATTAATGTATATACCAAGAGGTACGGATTTTATCAGTAGAAGTCAGGCTGGATCAGCTGCTGCAACCGCTACTATGATCTTCCTTCGCTATCATCTTCCACATCTATACACGTGTGTCCTTGGATGACTATGATCATGAGATGTGTAATATCTCTGCCCAGCTGAACAATCCTTAACCAGAGGGTCTAAATAGAACAGATTTTGATTCAGGTATTCATTCTTTTTTACAGCAATATTAATATACTTTTTGCATAAAAGCAAGACTTTGACAAAGAAAATAAAGAATCTTAGCAGTAGAATCAAATCTGTACCTTAAAAGTACTTACTGAGCTTTTAGGAAAGAAGTGCAGACCAAAGGCTTTCTTTTTTCCTCTAAAATGTACTTTCTCTTAAACAATGAGAAGTTTCAGCCTTACTACTCCATTTTTTCCTGAGACTGTCGTATTCCTATGAAGTTTTAATTAATTTGTTGGCACTTGCAAGATACTTGAAAAAACTTGAAGGTCAATGGCTGTCATAATTAGAAGCTGAAAGAGGAAAACAGACTGTGTGTTACTGCTTTGTAAGAATCAAGCAGCTCCAGAAACCTTGCTGATTATACACACCAAAAGTCTGTGCCAAGACTGACTGTCATTTAGTACCCTCTCTGCTTCCACTTGGAAAGACTTTATGTCTGCTTGTCTATGCCAGTCTGAGAAAGAATAAACAATGAGCTACTCAGACAATTTTTGGCTCCAGTATTTTGATATGTATAGTAAAAGCATGTGGTGGGAAAACAGGCATCTCATAAACAGCCTCTGTACAACACTTTTTTGCAAATGCATTTATTTAAAATGTGACCCTCTACATTTCTTGACCAAGTCTGTTCATGATGGAAAAGAAGGAAATTTGAAAACCAAAACCCATTCTTCTTCACTATGCTTGTCATGGTCTTATCTCTTCTGCATGTTTCTGCCTTTTGTCCTTTGTGGCTGGCAGTGTGTATGTTCCCTTGATACCCTGTTCTGCCTTGTAACATCTCAAATATGTGTAGTAAAGCAATGTAACAGCAAATCCAGACAGAAAAGGTTAGTGAGACTGTCAGTTCTGTGTCTGGGTGAGATAACTGTACTCTTTCCTTTCCCACCATGGGAAAAAGGAAAGTTTTCAATTAGGTTTTGTTCTTACCCTTCTGAATATATTGGGAAGTATGCTACATGTTGAAAAACAATAATACCCATCCCATTCTCTTTCTAAGATAGAATAATTTATTTGTAATGTGTATTTGAAATCCTGTTGAAGGAAGTTAACACAATAGCTTCATTAGGTGAGATTTGGACACCCAATGTTTTCTTAGGAAGTACTCATGAATCTGCAAGCTGTGATCCAGCATGAATATACTGCGCAGATATCACAGCTTCCAACAATATCTTTGAAAACACATTTTACAGTAAATCAATCATATAATGTCAACTGTTGAAATTTATTATAGTCTGCTATAAAAAAAATAGTCAAAAAGGAAATATTTAGGCTTGGTTTCATTTGCTGTTACATGAACTTGTGTCCTGGGTTCAGCAGTAGCAGTCATTTTTCTCCTTCTTAGTAGCTGGTGCAGTGCTGTGGTTTTGACTTTCAGCCTGGGAACAGCGCTGGTAACACCAATGGCTTTACTTGCTGCTCAGTAATGTTTACCCTGACCAAGGACTTTGTGAGCCTCATGCTCTGCCAGGGAGGAGGGGAAGCTGGGAGGAAGCAGAGACAGGACACCTGACCCAAACTGACCACAGCACATCATGCCCAGGATGTAAAACTGGGGGCAGTTACCTGGAAGGGTTAGATCACTGCTCAGGTCTGGCTGGGTATCGATGGGCAGGTGGTGAGCGGTTGTATTCTCTTCCCTTGTTATTTCCCTTATCATTATTGGTGGTAGCAGCAGTGATTTGTGTTATACCTTAGTTACTGGACTGTTCTTATCTCAACCCGTGGGAGGTACATTCTTTTGATTCTCCTCCCCATCCCTCCAGGAGCAGGGGGGAGGAAAGGGGGGGGGGGGGGGAAGTGAGAGAGCGAGCTGCATGGCTGGGCTTAAAGCCCGCCAATTTTGTATTCAGTGACTTAATGCACAGCAAGTCTTTCAGTCACTGCATTATTGCTGAGCTGTAGGACCTGAAAATATTCCTTTCTCAGTCCCAAACTTGTGGATTTTACAGAAGTGTTTTACAGCACTGGCATGAAAACATCACCCATGAAGTTAAGTCAAGCAGCACATTTGAAAAAGGATTAAAGCTTAAGAACTCACTAACTTCTTTTTTGATAACTTCCTTTTTTTAAAGTGTCATACTCATACTCTTAATGAGTCAATCTGAGCCCACCAAGTGTCACACATCTTTTGTACAAAAGCGATATAAGCAGCTATTCCCCACCCTGCACAGAGCAAGTGCTGCACACAGCTGGGCTGTTCAAATTCTTTCATCGGGATCAATGTCGTGCTGAATAACAGAGTCCCCTGTTTCTTCAGTGAGGTCTTTGGCAGCTCTTGGCTTCTTTTAACTTTGACTTTTCCTTTTTATGGCTCACACAAAGGATAAAAACTTTTAAAATTACTATGTATCAGTTGACAGGAAAGGTGGCTCATTTTTCCATATTTGATCTGTAGACTCTGATGGCCCTAGGCTTATCTGAGAATGTAAGCTAAAACTGGCTGTAAGTGCTGCTCAAATGAAAAAAGCAATATAAATGGACATTGGTCATGTCTTTGAAGAGCTACAGCCACTTTCTTATTTAAGCCATTAAGTTAGATGTATGGAAAGCATTATATAAACTGATAGCACCAGGGTGCCTCTCTCGTTGCTGTACTAGGGCATTCTAAGGATAGTCCCAGCACCATCTCCATGTTCATCATTCTAACAGATGACCATATTAAACATAAATTTGGGTTTAGATTTCTATGCTTTCCCACTTTTTGCTTTTGGCACAGACAGTTTTGTGCTGTGATGAACATGCAGGTTAGCTCCTTCCCCATCACAGTGCCAGCAAGCTAAACTACTCTCAAGGCCTACTCTGGAGAAAAGTCTTTTTAACATGAGCTGACTAACTTTAAGCTGTAATTTTAACATAAGTTCACTGCTTTTTTGTAAAACCCAGGGATTACTGTATCTAGGCTTACCCAGTGGCTTCCTCTTATGGCTTTCTACCTCATTTACAGCACAGGAGTCAGATACTACACCAGCAGAAATCCCACCCACGTGACTCATCTTTGTTTCACGCACATCAGTGGAGCACTAAGAAGCCTGTATGTACATCCTTGCTCAGACACCTCCAGTGTAAAAAAAAGGGAGAAAATAGACTCCTTAGAGTTTGTATTCTCTGTGTTTTCAAACCTTATCCACTCTCCATAAAGACCACAGGACCCATAGTCTTAGTATCTCTCCCAACATGTGTTGGGATGGCATTTCAAGAACTAAATATGCCTAATGACTTACATGTAGTGTCCCATGCTTTTCTCAGGATGTCTAATTCTGAAACAGCCTTTAAGATCACCACTTACCATCCTTGTTAGTCCACACAGACTCCTTGAGAGCCTGCTTTTCCCGTATAGCTATCTGTGTGTACAAATGATAGCATAAGGTTGAGCAAATAAGCTATCTATGTAGCAACTCAATGCCCTTCCTGCATGGGTGATAAAATCTGCCTCCTGTTCATACCCAGTCCCTGCAGTTTCCCAAATGCAAATGTCGGAAATATGAGTCTACTAGAATCACTAGCTATTTCTTTTCTAGTTGTAACCCGTCACCTCAGAAATTTAAAATCCATTGTGCTGTGTGACTGAAGACAAGGCAGTTCAAATGCATATTGATGTATAAATGAGAAAAAAAAAGCCTCTCCGTACTCTGCTTCTGCTTTCCTTTTTTTGTCCATAAAAGCAACTTAGGGGATTTGCAGGCTGTGTGGTACTGGTGCTCGGCAAAACATTCCCCGTGGCTCTGGCAGCAGCATGATTGCTCAGTTCAATTTCTAGCAACTGCCAAGGCCACACAGAAAATGCCAGAGAACAAAAGCACAGACTTGACTGAAATGCCTGTATTGCAAAAAAGAAAATGAGAAACAAACCATGACCCCTCTGCAGTGGAAAGGAAGGATAAAACAAAACAAAACAAAAGGATAAGCTAACACGTAAGCTGCAACAGACCAGAGGAAGAACTAACACAAGGAAACCTTCCAGGAGCAGAGGGAAGAGAAAAGGAAATAAAGAACAGGGAAGACAGATTCCAGCAGTGAAGGAGCTAAATGTAGCTTCAGCTCAGACCTTTTCCGGAAATGTGTTGGACACATTTGCTGCATAGTCCAAATGACCGAGAATGGGATGGAGTTATGCTAATCAAGACAAAATTATGAAAGTCCTTTAATCCAATAAGCGTTCATTGGATGTGGAGTATATTCACTGTCATTTTATAGTTCTGAATCACATAGATATACCCCAACTATTAATGGCAATTGTTAGCAGCTCCATTTTAATTCTCTCTCATGTTCTAAGAACAGAACTTATGTATCATTTAATTTTGTATTAAGCCAGAAATCTTTATTTATGCAAATTTAAGTGCACTGAGAAATGATCGAACACTCTCAAAAAAATTATACTTGAAGTAGGTATTTCACATAAAACTTTAAGAATATAAAATTAAAATCTGTTCCCCTCATTAATCTTTCCAGTCTCTCTTGCTGGGTGATATGAAAATGAAGGCAGGGTTGTTGAGAACTAATTATTTTTCATCCTTCTTTTTTCAGTTAACATGATTCTTTGAACTGTGGAGCTGCTCAGTGCAGTTTCTGCATCTGGTGCATCTGGTGGTGAAATACTAGTGGCTTACCTCACCTATAGCAAATTTACTCTACTGAAAACAAGCAAAATTACGCTAGAGCTTGGCTTGTCTGAATTTTAGAAGAATACTACTCTGAGATCTAGTAAAGGCTGAAAGGTTCTTGGAGCCAGTCATTTAAATGAATGCTCCCCAATTATTTGCCCTGTCTGCTCTTTTCTAGGCTAAACAAATGCAGCTCTTAAAAACTTTCCTGAAGGTGACTTTTTTACATCTTCTCCACCTTGTATTGCTTTCCCGTCTGTCAAACTCTTTCTTAGATCATGGGGAACAGACTTGATTCCAGTCCTCCAGAATCACAAAATGGGCAGAGTAGCTCTCCCATGTGTCTTGCAAGCAAGAGAATTGCCCCTCCTTGCAATGTTTTGTGCTATGCTGAGAAGTTTTCCATCTTTTGGATGTGTATGAGGTATGCAGTTGCAATGTCTACATTTGTCTAACATAATATGGCAACAACAGTGACTTCTGAAATAATTTCCTTGGAAAAATACACATCAACTTAATCTCCATTCAGCATTTAGCTCTTCTTTTTTTTTAAAATTAAGGATCAAAGTAGTGGCTAGAATGTCAAAATATGCACCTGCTTTCTATACATAAAGTATTTGTGCATGTTTCTGTGCATGTATGTGCACTTTGATTACTCAGTTTCTGTGTAGCTCATTCACAGGGTAAGTATTTTAAGAAATCTCTTTGTTCTGGAGCTATCTGAAGGAATTTTAAATAGCCCAGCTAAGGTACTTAAGGAGAAATGTGCATGTATTTGCAAAATAAATTAGCATCTCACTCCTTTTGGTGGCAGCAGGCAACCTACCCCTTTTCAACCCAGTCTTTCAAAAAATACATGTGGCAGCAATGGTACATAACTGTGGTCACAGATTAATTATGACTCAGTTGATTCTCCAAAAATGAGATTTTCCTTTTAAGAATAAGTTACACTGCAGAGTGTTTGCAGAGGCATGCAGACAGCACAAGGAATCTCCATGGGTAAGCATACTTTCAGCACAGATTTGCTGAATACTTTTTTTTGATTTTATGGACTTAGGGCACTAGTGTGTGACCTTATCTGCAACAGTGTTACTGTGTCAAAGAACAAGGATTGGAACAGGGTGTGCCTGGTTCTTTAAGAAATACAGCTCCAAAGCCTGTAAGGAGCTCATACGGAAATAATTTCCTCTTATTACAGTTGGTCTCTCTTGTGCTGGTAGGAGCAGTCAGACCAAGCTTTCAACTTCTCAGACTTTTTTCTCTTGGTTTCTTTGCATGAAAGTATTTCATACAGACCTACCTTTCATTTGTCAAACAGAAACTTTGCTGCTTCTAAACCTGCTCCCCCAAAAAGCAGTTCAATGAAGGACAGCTTTCTACTCTGCAAAAAACAATTCCCACCAGTTTTATGTACTGGTCCGTCTGAAATCCTTCAGAGGTGGACTTAATGTTGGAAGCCCTATTCCGCAGCCTGGTGTAATGTGAAATGTTACTGGTTGGTTTTGCAGATACGAAATGTGGCAGCCAACCTCTGTGTGGACAGTAAACATGGAGCCACAGGGACTGAGCTGAGGCTGGACATCTGTGTGAAGGATGGCTCAGAACGAACATGGTCACACGAACAGGTATTTTAACAGCAGAAGGAGAAAAGCAGTGTAAAACTGTTGCTTCTCCAGTTTCTAAACATTTCTCTGAGGGCTTTTCCTTATCCAAAGGCAAAGTAATGCAGGGTGTGGAAATAATCTGTGAATTATTGCTGATCTTAATGGCTTTTACAAACTACTCTTTATCATAACCTCAGAAACTCCAGCTGCCACCTGGTCTGTGTATTAGTCTTAATTTCAAAAATGCCCAAACTGCTTTTTGGTGCGCCATTCTCCCCCACTGTGTCATGAAAACATGCTGATTTTAGTTCAGTTACCTGAAAGTATTTTAAATATAGTACCTGGACTTGTAAAGCTCTAGTGGTAGACTGCTTTTATGCTTTCATCTCAATAAGTTCTGTAAGTGGTTATATTTTAAATGAATATGAGACAAAAGCAAGATAAATGGGTAAAAGGTAGAAAGAAAGCATTTCAGAAAGATAGGGAATGATAAAGATTTCAAAAAAAAAAAAAAAGCTTTTATCTAGGTAAAAATATATTAGCTCTCAGGAGAATGGAGCAAAAGAGCTCTTATTTGTGCTCATTGTGAGTGCCATAGGAAAGGGGTCATGACCCAAAGGCTATGGGTCTGGCCAACCTGAGCAAAGAGAACCCAGATGAAAAGTACAACCTAACCATTTATTAGCAATTTTAGTGAGCATACCTTTCACAGGGGAAGGTCCCAGATTAGAAAAAATTCCCAGCGCTTAGGAGAAAAATTGACCTGGCAGTCACACGTGGCACTTTGTAAAAGCTTAAAAAGCTCAGGAGAGGGGAGTTCTAAGGGGTATTTGAAGTGCTGAGGTCAAGAAATCCTTCTCTGAGGATACTCAGAAATGCAGGGGGAGAGGTGCAAGTGCCTGAAATGGAGAAGCTGAAAGATGATTGCAGCTTAGGGAAGTGCCAACATGGGAAAAAGAAAGCTACTGAAGGAAGACGTCTTCACACAGCTACCAAAGATCTAGCACAGTGATATGATGCCAAGACTAGATAAATATAATCCTGTTTGTTTATGAAAGACAGCCAGTAATTCAAGCAATTAATTGAAAGAAGTTGTATGGTCCAGAGTTGATCATCACAGCGCTTTCTGGCTTTAAAATCTACAAACCTGAAGAGCTCCAGACCTTTCTCAGAAGGAAAGGAGTCATGTCCTGACAGACATGAGAGAAAGGAGGGAGGAAAACTGGACAAAAAGGTGAGAAAAAAAAAAAATTAGCAAGGAAAGCAGAGCAAAGGGAGACCTGAAGTATCCTTTGAAACAGTAAATGGTTGTGAGGAAGGGGAAGGGGTGCAAAGGAAGAAGGATGTTAGGAAGAAATCCATGTTTCAAGGGAAACCCAGTGCGTTGTGAGGTTTGGGATCAGACTCCATGTAAAGGTCTCATACTATACTAATGACAAAAAGCAACTTCATTAAAATAGATAGGGTTAAGCGAGACTAGTTCAATCAGCCAGCTCTTCATATCATAGAACCAGAACTAGCCTCAAGCACATCCACGCTTGAGCTGCACTCCAGGGACAGCATGAATCATTTCTGCCGGGTTGGTGGGGGAACAGCATGTACCTTCTTTCTGTGGGACAGCATGGAAAATACTGCCAGGGAACACCACTTCTCCCACCTAAGCAGTGTGACTGTGTTGGGAAAGGTCCATTTGCTGGTCAGTTTGGTGATTCCTCGGGGCTGCTGTAGATGAGGGACTGGGTGGTGGGCACTGCTGGATGCTCCTCCTGAGGCTATTGCAGCTCCAGGCAAGCAAATGCAAACACACCCAAAGGCAGCTTAATTATCTAACAGCTATTTAGCTATTTAACCCTCAAAGCAAGCTGTTTTCTTTTGTTTCAACTCGTTTGTTGCAGGGTTGTGTGTTAAAATCTGGCCCTAGGTTGGTGACAGTTGATAGAAGTGTGGTTTAGATTGGTATATTTTAATGAAATTCCTTGATTCATATTCAGTCCCAAAGGCTGAATATTACCTGCAGTGTGTGTGGGACCAGAGTCCAGTAAATCATCTCTTGAGGAGGTGCAGTCTTCCACTTGCAACATAGTAAGCTGTGAAGATGAACTTTGTTAAAGAGTGTTTGGGAACAAGTGCTGAACACCTGACCGACCCTCAGAGAGAAGCTCCATATTGCTTACGTATTTTGAGTTTGTTGACTACATGATTTTTTACATATGCCAGTAGAAACTATCAGCATTAATGAAAATATCAAGCATTTTAGTATCATATTTCAATCAGCTTGGATTGACACTGAGCTGCTCTTGTAACTTGTGGTATAAATTGACAGAAATCACTGCACTTTCTCTAAACTTCTCCAAAATTAAAACACAAAGGGGAAGGAAAGGGCAGGAGGAATAGGTTGGACAGAGCCTTGGGTGACGCGGTTTAGTGTGAGGTGTCCCTGCCCATGGCAGGGGCTTGAAACTAAATGATCTTAAGGTCCTTTCCAACCCTAACTACTCTATGATTCTGTGATAGCAGAGTGTGGTGTTCTTACAACTCTGTCTGCCCAAGAGCTAACTTCAGGGAAAACTGTGTTTCTGCTGGACTGATAACCAGCAGCAAAGGCAAATGACAGGTATCACTCTCTCTTCTCAAGTGCCGCAGCCTGGCCAGGGAGTGAGGTGGACAGGCATCATCTCCAGCACAGCCCGCCAAGCGGCTGTGCAGCCTGCTGAGCTTTTTCTTCTCTGCCTGGAGGTATAGTTCAGGTCAAGGTGCAGTTCTGAAATGTGGCATTTCCTCTTTGTGCAGGGCACATGTTGTACACTCAAGTCTAACCCGTAGTCAAAAGCACAATGCCAGCTGACGGACCCCAGCCAGGCAGCAGGTAATTGAGCAATGTTCTCAGGCTGGAAAGCATTAATATTATCAAAAAGGCCTTTGTCCTATATACGGTCCCAATCCAGTGGCTGTATCAGGCAATCATTCTTCAGGCCCTGTGCCAATTACACATGACGCTGGAAAGCTCTGTTTTCCCCAGATAGTGTGTGACAAGGCTAGGCTGCATGAAAAGCTAAAGCATGAGGGCTGAGTGGTTGCTTGGTTGCAGATGCAGAGGATGGGGCTGGTTTTTGGGCTCTGTGGTATGGGAGAAGGCAGAGGAAGAGTATGAGCATCTGCTGGGACAGAAGGTTTCTTGGGTGCAGCATGGAACAGTGAACAGCAGCTTGGCACGTTGCAAGTTATCACCAGCCTGCTGTTAATAATGTGTCTGGAAATGTAGGTGCAGCCTTGTTGCAAATCAAAAAGCAGACAGGAATGAATGAAGGGGTACAAAAAGGTTCATCCACTTCTCATAAAATCCAACACAGGTGGCTCCTAACAGCTTGGGTCAAAGGAACAACAAAATCCAAAGTGACAGGTGGTGGCAAAGCAAAGCACTGTGTAACTCAGGACTTCAGCTAATAACATGTAGCATTGTGGCACATTAGACAGTGGAGAGAGAATTTCTATGTTCACCAGTTTTAGTGTTAACTAAAGAAAGTTGGCTGTGAAATGGAGAATAGCTTAGAATGATGAGATTAGAAGGACTGCAGGCCTTCAAATTTTGCTTGTAATTACAAAATCTTAATATTAATTAGGTATATGGAGAAGTATAACCTTTTTCTGAACAATCTTTTTTCTCTTCTCTTAGTCCTAAAATTTAGTTCCTGTCCCTAACAAGTTTATTTTATAATAGTATCACTAGACAGAAGATGTACTTCTTGACTTAAAATGAAACAGTTTTACAAAACAGGAGGCTAGGAAGGAGGCAGACAATCTGTGCTAGTCTAAACATTGAGATCTACTATTGCACAGATCCTGGTTTTCAGTGAAAGGGATCAAAAAACCCCTGTCATCACATCTTGACTTTCAAACAGAACACTGCCCTGGCAGTCTTCAGAAACCACACAGGACTGGAAAGAGATAGCCTGGATCAGAATGACCTGATTTAAGGGCTAGCTTGAGCCTTTCAAGTGTAGCAATACTTTCAGTGGGATGGTAGTCCCTGGCCAAGGTCCAGAGAGCAGCAGGAATTGGCCCCTCAGTTCTCTAGTCATGCACAGAATGAGAAATTTCGAGAGCCACCCACTGGGAAAGATGAGGAATGTCATTCAAGAGGATCTCTGTCTTGTAGTAGTAATGAGAGGGAGAATATTGCGAAACCACTGTTCCACAGCATTCCTCTAGGTATTTGTTATTCATCACTTTGAACTCCATGTTTATTACTTGTCTGTAGAAAGGTACAAAGTAAGAGAAAGAAATGTCTTTTGTTGTTTTTTCCTTAAGGGAAAATTATCCCAGGTTTCTCTTTTTCTAAAGAAACAGCCGTGTAGATTTTTTCTGTACCAAATCTTCTGTCTTTGCTTGTGAAATGATGTTATCTTTGTAGGGCATCCATGATGCTGGTTCCAGGAAACATGAAGAAAAGTAGAAAAAGACTTAACCTTTTGAAAAGCAGAGATTGCTTTGAAAATGAAGTTAAAGCTGTCCACTGCATTTTGCTGCAGATAAATGTAAAAAGCACTCTTGGACAAAGAAGAAATAAGCAGGACACAGGTGTAGATTAAGAAAATGTTGTCTAGAAAACCTGAAATGCTGAAATAAATAGGGAGCAACAGCAGTTAACAGAGGGAACGTGGGCTTACAGTAAGACGGACAATGAAAAAGGGAAATATTCAGATATAGGCTTGTATTTTGTGCTTGCAGGCCAAGGGAAACAGTAATGCCTCTCAAATGTGGCATTTGGAGGATGGTACAACATTGAAGGATGCAGCTTGTTTCAAAGCTGTATTTTTTCAAAGGAACACAGAAAGGAGATAGCTATCACAGTGAAAGGTTTAAAACTTGGGAACCACAGCAGAAGTATACAGAATTAGACCCACACTACACCAACTGTCATTTGTAGATACTGGTTCTACCAGGGAATGTACACACTGCAGGGAGCAGGGTGCTAGGTAAGGGCTGAAAAGATCCTGAGATGGGGTAGGTGCAGTGCTGGAAGCACTCTGAGCACAGTATCAGGAGCTGCCTTTCCGCCTAATGAGCCTGCGTGCAGTTCCGCATGAGCCATCACAGCTAAACGGTTTCCACTAATAAAGTTCGCTCATTTAGAAAGAGCTTCACTTTCTCAATGTTATGTTTCAGTTTATACTATGGAAAATCAAAAGTCATGCAGAAAGATGAAGAATAGCACTGACATCAAAAAGAAAAAAAAAAGAGGGGGGAAAGGGAGAGAATAAAACCTCACAGCTCTCAGCAGAGCTTCTAGATAGTAATTTGCAACCTGCAACCCATTTTCTGCAAGGATTAGTCCATGGGAGAGAAAAATTCACTCTGCATCTTTAAATCTGGTGCTGTCAGACCTGTCACCTTCATCTAATGATTGAAAGACTGCAGTGTCAAAGCATTATTTCAGACAGCTGGTATCTAATTGAGAAAGATGCCTCTGTTAACTGTGAGCCTCCATGATTCCTCTCAGGCACTGAGAAAAAGGTCTTTAACAAGCTGCCTGTAGCTCGCAAGTCTCACAGTAGGAAGTTGAAATTCATTTAACATGTGCTGTTTAGGGAAGACAGTTGAGAGAGGGCGTGCTAACAGTTTCCCATATAAACAGAAGGAAACTGTTCATTAAACATGGGAAAGATGCTTTGATGAGATCTGTCTAGGTAGCTTCTTCAGACCCAAATAAGAGATAGAGGAGCATCACTAGGAGAGACTTTCTGAGTCCTAAGTAGCTGTAGTTCTACTGCAGACCAGTGCTGCTTTAACTGGGGTAACTAAAGGCTTTAATACATCATACCCCCTCTCATCTGCACTGTATTGTGTCACCAGAGATTTTTTAATTGCTTGCCATACGGATTGTGCCTTCCTGGGGTATATACCACACTGGCACCGATGCACTTCAGTTAAGGTAGTTGGCATCACTGAATCATACACAGGAAGGATCAAGCTTTGTGTGTGGTTTTAAACATTTTTCACTAGTCATATATCATTATATTGCCTGACTGTTTTTCTAGCTCTTCACTTTTGGTTGGAGAGAAGACATCCGCCCTGGAGAGCCCCTTCACACCAGGAAGTTCTGCTTCGACGCCATTTCACACAGTAGCCCTGTCACACTGTATGACTGTCACGGGATGAAGGGAAACCAGCACTGGACCTATAGGAAGGTCAGAGATTCAGACTGTCTTGAGCCTGTATTCAGTTTAGCACAGACTTGTATTTTCCCATCAGAGAACTTCTGTTTTAAAATTCATCCCATCTTATTCCAATTTAATTTTGTCATAATCTCTCTCAGGTATGTTTCTTTTAAGCATTCTGCTGTTTAGGTCAAATTTAAGTGAAAATTAATCTGATCCAGCTCAGAGGGTATCTGTGTTGGATCTGTTCCCTGAAAGGTGTTTTGCCATTCTAGCGTTTCAAGATGCTTGTGATATTTTAACAGAGGCGCTGCTGGAAATATTTTCATTGAATGTAACAGCAGCAAGAAATGCTGCCCATGGGTTAAGTATTACTATCTTGCTACGTTTTAAAGATCTTAAAAGATTTTGAAGATCGTTAAGATCTGTATTTTAAAGATTTTAAAAAATCTCTTATTAAAAAAAAAAAATACACCCAACATTAAAAGCACTGCCGTAAGCCCAAAGAAAGCCGGAGTTTATAAACTAAAGATAAGCAGCTTAGACACTGCTTTGATCTGCTGAGTTTCAGCCTATTTTTATAAATCACTGGAAACAAAAGGTCAAGCTAGAAACTGTCAGAGCCTCATTTAGGGCAAAGTCTCAGTAATGCTACCAAGTTGTTGTTAGGGTTTTTTACAGGATTAATCAGCAAGTTGCAGGATAAAGACATACCTTTCTCTGAAGCGCTGAAGATTCCTCTCACATCTTTCACTTTTCTTTGACCACCATGCCTTGTCCACCACCTTGTTTAAACTGAAGCCAAAGTGCCAGGAATTGATCTTTGCCAGATAAACCTCAATACTGCTTTCTAGTTCGAAATTATATATAATAGAAAACTAATTCAGAACCATTAAAAATAGGTTTGCCCTGACCCTTTTTCTGAGTGCCTACTTACTATCCTGTGCCTTTTTACCCTATTTATATTGCAATTGGAGCTCCACCACAGATTTTCCAGAAGTGTAATCCCTTTGAAACTGAAGTATTACCTCTAATAAAGTTAGAGTGTATGAGCCAGATATTTAAAGGGTATAAATCATTATGGCTGTATTGACGCATATCTGGCTTTATAATGACATAATAATAACTTCTTGCTTCAAAACCCTTCTGATTTATCTTTTTGCCTACCCAAGCTACAAGAAAGAAGCTTTCATACCTTTAGCACTTCGTTGGTGCTTAATGTAGCCAGCTCACAAGACAAAATTCAGGTCTGGAGCTGCCCTCTCTAAGGCTCATCACCTTTGATGAGGACATAATACAGCAAATAACTAAAACAAAAATGGCTTCTGAAAAAGATACACTGTGAGTTCTATTAAATTCTCTGCACAGCTTCATTTTTAATTTCCAGATGTCTGACAAGGCTGATATAAAAATTCTCAATGCAAGGCAAGCATTTCCATCTCAACAAGAAACACCACAAAAGTTTGTTATGATGGAAGTACTGCCACAGTCTTAACTGTAATACCAATGTGACAGCAAGCTGATTAGTTTACATAAACCTTCAAACAAAGAAACGGCATTGGAATAATAGAATTATGTATACATGGTTTTCTTTAGGCTTAGTTTTAGCTTGGCTACACAAGAAGTGTTTTTTATTGTTTCACTTAGTCTATTTCCTCAGATACAGAGCAGATTTACATTGGAGGTTTTTGGTGGTACAGCTATGTCTCCAAAATCCTGGTGATATAATCCTTATATAATTTTGAAAGCATCTTGGCAACAGAATTTGTAGTGGTGTCTCCCCAGAAAAAAAGGAAAATAAATGGATGTTATATTGATTTAACTGCATCTGTACTAGAAACTTACCTACAGGATGGTATGCTACTAAAATTGTACCCTAAGTAAATATGAGGAGTAGTCTGGTTAAGTAAGAAGTGCCTCCTTTTAAAAACCAGAAAGTAAGTCAACAACTCTGTTCTGTTCTCTGCGCCACTTAGAGACACTGTAACTTCCTAACAGTCACGTATCCATCCTGCAAATAATTTTTAGGAAAAATTACCTTGTTTTGTCCACTATCTCATAAGCTGCTTAATATGAAGTGTTTCTTGCCTTATGATGTCATACTGTTCCTACAAAACCAGAAGATAAGAGGTTTCTATTCTTTTGAGAATGAGTCTCTTCTCATAATCATTTGCATCCTTGAGCCTTTGGTAAGGAGAAGTTAGGGCTGTGAAGTGATTACAAAGTGCTGCAAATACTATTTGAAGCCAGGCACTGTTTTAAGATTCCATATTCTTACAGCATAGAAACCTGAATACTGACAAATAAAACCAGATTAAGTATTTCAGTGGCAAGTAGAATACATTAATATTTTACTTCAGGTAAGGAGTACTCTTCTGAAAAAAAAAGAAAAAATCCAGCTTATTCCCATTACCTGCACTTTGTTTTTTATTGCAGTGCAGTCTCAGAGAGTGCAAACTGCGTTCTTTACAGATTAATGAAACCAAAACCACCACTAATAGACATGTCAGAAAACTATTCTTACTCCCATGCTGCCTGAAATACATCTGAGACACTATTTGAAAGTTCAGTAAGCCTGTGATATTAAGTAATCAATTCTTTTAGGACCAATCCAAAATATTGGCCTACAGACAAGTATACCCTTAAGAAAACCCTGTAAGAAGCAATGGAGTAAAATAAATCCAAGTAGTACCATCAACACTACTGAGGGTTGGAAATACAAGACAGTGAGTTTAATAGCGGAAAAAAAAAAATAATAATGACACCATAATGGTGCTCCCATCAATGACAGGAGCAATGTGAGAAATTAGAGAAATGTAAAGAACCTGAAATTATTAGAGGTGTGGGAGAGCAGTGGCTTCCCAAGCTAAAGCCGTTTCTTTGACTCTATTTGAGGTTCATAGGCATGTCAGAGCCAAAGTTCAACAGTGCTTACAAATTCCCATTGCTCCCAGTGAAGGAATATGGCTCTGGCTTTCAATGTAGCACCATCCTGGATTGTCAGGAAATACGTTGGTTGTGATAAAGTACGATTCAATTTATGTGCCTTAGTCCTATTAGTGCTATTTGCAGAGTGCAAGTATCCAAGAGAGGGCTGATTTAGTATGTCTTTAAAAAGAAACAATTGTGCGAAATCAGTTTCATTAAGCGGTAATTCTACCCTGAGCCCAGTGATTATGATAGATGCTAGACTGATAACATCAAAACCTGTGCCCAGAAAGAACAGCATGGTTTGCTCATACTCTCCTGACAGCTTCAGGGACAAACTGTAAGTTCACTGTTCACACAGTAGGTGCATAGATTATTTCCTCAGACAACCAAAGACATGTCGTTGTGATAGTGGCTTTTATCATGTGGACATGTGTCCTACTGAAGCTGTGCTGGGGCTACCAACTAATTTCAGATAAACTACCGCAGCCACCAGCTGATAATGACTTCCAGTTGCTATTGACCTTGGCCATCGTTATAGTAGTGACCTAGAAGAAATGAAAGACTCTGTGCCTCATTACCAATCCCCTGAACTGTCAAGGCACATTATCTTACAGAGAAGTTTCTCCTCCTGCAAATAATCTTCAGGACTGCCTTCATGCAGAAGGGAAAAAAAAAATCACTGTGCTGTTTTCAGATTTTGGAAGTGTCTCCACAAGAGTTCTTATGGTTTTTTTATGTTAGTGTAAAGAAGAATTTATCTATTTCTCTCGGAAAGTCCTTTCTGGCATGCATGCAACTGTTCCTCCTCAAAGTCCTGAGCCTGTTCCCATTGAAATCTGAGAGCAGCAGGCTTTGACCTTAGGTCAGTGTAAACTTGAGATTAAATAAATTAATAGAACTTTGCCAGAAGTTTTTGCAGAGTGGTAACTGTGTCCATGCTCTTAAAAGACACTCTTCTCTCCTAATAACCAGACTGAAAGAAAGCGCCAACAATGCTTCACTCAAAAAACGCATCCCTTGGATATTTCTGTGAGAAGAGCCCTAGGTCTCTTCAGAGGGCTGGAGTGTTTTTCATAGCACACTTCTGTACTGAAGCTGCTTCCTTTCTTCCTGTACCAGCTATCCTGTTAAAGCTTCTACTGTTGCAGCTTTGGCTTCCTAATAACTTGGTTGACCTTTATACCCAGCTATAAGGCAAGGAAAAGCAGATGCCACCTTCCTCCAAGGCCACACAGCAGGCCTGGTGGCCCTGGTGCAGACAGTGTGTTCTAATTTTGGGCAGTGCGAGGACAGGAGGAGCTGGCAAGATGAAAATAGGTGCCTCACCACCCCATAGGGTTCTTGGGAGACCTTGCCAGCCTGCCTCCTAGTAGGGACATGACTGCCATTTGTACATGGCACAGGTAGCCCCTTCTTGCAAGCTGTAGTATCCTATCTGCTCCCCTCACAGGACAAAATGGAGCATGATGGAAAGGACTCCACCCATTTGGTTTACTCCTGGCAGATTTGATGTCATCCCTCTGAATTACAATCTTGTGTGTGTGTGTGTTTACCCACTGTCTCGGGGGAAGGGCGGATGGTGGAGGTGAAAACCAGGGTTTGCAAAAGGCAGATTTAACACCAGCACCCTCAGACATAGCACAAGATGCTTTTGACCTCTCTCTTAGTTGCATGCTAATACCAAAGAAAGACATTGTGCAGTGTTTTACAATGCCCAAAGTCAATCAACTTCAGCTTTCCTAAATTAAACAAAAAAAAAAAAAAACAAACAAACAAACAAAAAGAAAACAAAACAACAGAAAAACCTTTATTTTTCCAAAGTGTTTTTAAATAGGTACGATTTCTTATTGGTTTCTTGTGTCATTTATTTTTGTCTTCAGACTTCTTTGTTGACTGTAGGGTATTTTTAGGTAAAGAGAAGTTTCTGTATGATTATGATTGTTGCTCAGCACTCAGAGCACTTGGGTGAGTTTATAATCAATTGCAATTTGACAGGGTTTTTTTTTCCCCTCCCCCTCTCACAAACTGGGCAAGCAGGCACATCCTGGATTAGTATTAAAATACTGGCAGGGCATGTTTGGCACAGAGGGGAAAAGCCTGGATGTGGTTTACCAAAAGTAATCTCAAACTTATTTCAACAGATACAGTAAAGGTATAGTCCCTGGAAACTTTCAAGCCATCTAATCACTCCCACATCTGTCACTCTCAAACACTTGCCTACATGAACTAAGTACGTTGAAACTACCCAACCCACATATACCACTTGCTTGTCTGTGTAATTTATGCTTTGCCAAATATTCACAGTCAGGTAACTTACAATTTGCTACAGTTTATGAAGCAAAATTAATAAAGATAATAATATAAATGTCCTTTTTAAAGCAACTTAATCCACACTTATCCTCCAAAAATCTCCCTAGGGAACTAAAACTGTTAGGATTGCCTTCTTATTAGGAGAGAGCGTATTTCAGCAGCAGGTCTTGTCAAGGCCATGGGCAGTCTGCATTTCAGGGGGTGAGAACTGAGACCATCAGTCTTGTGTCCATCTGTCCATCTTACCACTTCAGTTAATAATTCATTTTAAGATCTTCATCAAGTTGAAGAGCATCCATTTTCCAGAGAGATTGCTACAGATCCTCCTACCCAGAGAAACTGTCAGAAACAAATCCAAACAAAAAGAAAAACCCAAAACCAACCCACCACTTCTCAGGTTCAGACATTTAAATAGGCTCCAGGCAAGCACATGATATGCAAAGATTATTAAAAGACATTCTGTTTTTTCATGATATTATGTGGTTGTTAGTTAACAAGAAGTTGTCTCCTCGTTCTTTCTTGAATCTTCCATTTCAAGAAGAATAATAACCCAAGGGAAAAAAACCACTCCATTCTCTACAGCTTTCTAATAATAGCTGTGGTTATTGCACAAGTTTAGTGTACAGAGACCACAGAATCATTTCAGGTAGGGCTGTGTTAATCCATGTTCTGTAAAATGAGAACACTTCCAATGACTTGGCGTTTGCTACTTAATTCTATTTTTTTTTTTCATTCCTGTAGGACAAAACTTTGTTCCATCCGGTAAGCAGCAGCTGCATAGATTGCAACCCAGCCGAGAAGAAGATTTTCATGAACAGATGTGATCCTTTATCTGAAACCCAGCAGTGGATTTTTGAACATATTAATAAGACTGTTTTAGAAAACTTTAACAGCAAGGCCAGTTCCTAGGGAAAAAAAAAAAATTCAAAAAAAGAAACAATGAACGCACCTAATTCCGTACAGACTGCAGACTACACTTTCGCCAGCATCTGGGTCAAAGGAGTCAGGAATTAAATTTCCTAGATCCAGGAAATCTGTTCTGAGGATTAAGAAAATGCCACAGCAAGAGCCAGCAGGCTGTCCTTGTGGATGTACAGTATCTGGAGAACTTGGCCAAGAGCCTCACCGGATGCTGCTGAGAACTTCAGGCTGAAAATTCCCTTGCTGGTCGAGGGAAAAACTTTGTTTAAAAACTGTTTAAAAGTACTCCAAGTTAATAAAGTAAAACAAAACTCGAGTTTCTCAGGTCAAATCCTGCTGTAGTGAGTAGCTCAGAACAGATGCTATAATTTGGGATGGGTATATCATGTGCATGATGGCTACAGGAACCTGAAGAAATACCAGGTTTTAGAATTAAACATGCTGGTAGAAGAATAATGATGTCCCAGCAGTCTCTAGACAAGATATATGCTCTATTGACATTCTCTTAATAAAAGGTTGGGTTAAGCAGGTTTAACCTTCAGAACTGCTGCAATTAATTTTAAATACCTCCCTTTTACAGTCCATTCATTACCAAAATAGGAACATTAGAAATCTTAGGGTCTAGGATTACATTGTAGTGAAGCATGAAATAAACTGTAAGGTTTTGCTCTCACATTTCCCCCTTCAGGACAAAAGGTAAAGCAATCAAATTTCTATACATGATATATTTAGCAATTGTGATTCAAATCGCATTGTCACACAAGGTGAGATTTTTTTCTTAGTGACAAATGTAACAGCAGCAGCTGCAGCATAATGGAAGGCTTGTGGAGTAGCTATCTCTTCTAAAGGTAGAATCTTTACCAAACTATAAATTAAAATGAAAATAGGCTGGGCTGGGGGTAAAAATCAGGAAAGTAGGAAATAACTGCATACTGCATGCAGAACTAGGTTAGTCAAGTTAACATTGGTACACTGCCATCACCTAAAAAGCGTGTTGACTCCCTGCAGCACAGCTTTGAAGATCTTGCAGAGATGTTGTAGTGCTCTTGACAGATGGGAGTGGAGAGAAAAATTGGCATGGATCTAGTTGGGTGTTTTTGGAGTTTTTTGTGAAATCACATGAACTTTCCAGAGTTAGCAAATGAATGCTATTGTAGGTCTCATGATGGAGGAAACAAGAAGTGCAAACAAGTCAAATGTTACAGTATTTTGGTACTTCAGGCACAGGCACGATTCAGGGTAAGACAGAATTCTTCACACTGATGATCGTTATGGCCTGTTGTGTCCCTCGGGCCCACCAAGCTGTTGGCATGAGAGACCTCTAAAACTTGTTTGGGGGCCTATGGTTCTTCTCAGCAGAAATCAGTTAATCCTGATATGTGGATACTGATTGATAGGTCTGGGATTTTTCAAGGTAAGAGAAAGTATAAATTTATATCAAGTAGGTATGTGGTCAGCTTTTACTTGAAAGATGAATTTACAGATGAAAGCACCGTAAATGCAGATAGATCACATCCTCTGTGCTGTAACAGTACTTTCAAGTTCCAAAAAATATCGTATGTTATTAAGTTGCTTGTTCTGATTGCTGGAGAAGTGGCTGACTAACCAGAATACTGATGTGCTGTCTATCCTGTTTTGAGGGAGTAAGGTGACTGGTTTTTTTATTGCTCCTTAAGCTGTGTTTATGCACAAAGAGCATTGATTGCATCCAGAGGATGGTTCTAGTACCAATAACTGTGCTATTTTATGTCAGCACCTTGTAGTTGTAGGTTGAGGCCCAAACTTGTAGGTTATAGGAACTTTTTAGGAAGGAAATGAGATCCAGCAGTATTCAGGATGTATGCACTTGGACAGTTGTGAAATGTGTCCATACATGGAGCACTTGCTGCAAGATAGTGAAGAGGTCTTTCAAATAATCTGAAAGAAATGTATCTATAGAGTTAGACTTCTCATTTTATGATTTTAAAATAGGTGATCTTGTTTAGGTATTGTTTAATTTGAAGATATGGTGCGCTCAGGAATGGAAGCAGTAAAGCTACTCTATGAGGATACTTCAGATTTGTTTGGCTATCAGTACACAGGACCAGGCTAGACACTGCAGACTGTCAGCCTTCCCTGGTGCAGTGTTTGCAGCATCATTTATTTGCCACCTGAACATGAGGAAAGAGGATTTGGAAAAAGAAGAAAACGGCTGCCTACAATGTAAATGCAGCCCTCAAACTGTTGACTGTAACTGGCCCCAAACTGTCAAAGTTCCAGAAACAACACTGTATCCCCAAAATAGAGAGGCAAAGGGGAGTTGCAAACCAGCTAAGCAGCTTACCAGCACAGGCTGGTAGGATTGTATCATTCAGTGTCTGACTGCATTTCAGTGGTTTGATTTTGAAACGTCTAATGGGAACTAGACTTTTGTTGAGGCAAAGAAATTCTATGTCTGTTACAACCCTTGCTGAGTAATATTGCACAGCACTTTGCACTGCCTAAAGAAACCTTCCCATTACTCATAGCTGGACACTAATCGTAAGCTCTAGCAGTCCTTGTCAGAAAACAATCCACGTAACAGATACTGAGATGTTTGGGGAGGAGAGAAGGAAATATGATCTACGTATGTATGTTTTCAGGTTTTATCTAAGAAAAAAATATATAAAAATATATTGGAGTTTGTTGTGGATCAATAGTGACCAACTGTTGATCAATCTGAAAGTATAAAGGTTAAATGAAGGTCTATATCTTGAGGAAAGTTGAATGAGAACTTGTCACAGTGAGTGAGGCATAGAAACACACACACACACACATATATGTGTGTGTGTATATGCATATGTATATGTGACCAGTGGAAAGAAGTAGGTGGAGGAGAGAAGTTTGTTTTCACTTCATGGGCTGATCTTTCAAATATTTAGTATAACCAGAGGCATGCATGAAAAAATGCTAGGACACAATTAGACCTCTAGAGAAGACAGTTATCTCACTGTTTTCAGCTTGAGCAAATTACTCTTTGTTAAAAACTGAGACAAAAAAAGCTAGCATGCAGCTTCACCAGAGACAGGTGTAATCCTCCTACTATGGGTAGAAGGTAAGCCGAGGGACAGAGTTCTTCAGTGTTGTGCTCCTATAACATTTGGCATGATGGATTCACAAAATGGTTATGACTTGCTAAGCACAGGACTCCTTCAGCAGGAAGTTTTATTAATAATAAATGATCATTTAAAATTAAATCTCAGTTAAATTCTGTCGTGGGTGTTCTCCAAAGCTTTCAACTGATAACAGTATTTCATGACTAATTTAACATTCAGAATTTAAGTCTTCCTACAACCATATCTTTTCTACTCAGCAAAGAGCTGAACAACTTGATAGGATGGACAGATATATCTTCCTCACATATTTAATCAGGAGCATTTAGATTTAATATGCTTCTCTTCAAAAGACTGTGAAGTTTCTTCACAGAACTTCTTTCTTTTAAATACCTGGGTAGTTCTGAACATATGTTGAATTTAGTGCACAGGTAGCATGAACTGATGTGGGCTCATTATTTCAGTTGAGCTATACTGATCTGCCCCAACTGATTACTTGTTTGAGATTTTTCGGTTAATTATTTTATGGTGAGAAGGTGCTTTAATCAACATGCCTGAAGATCTCTATATCTTAATAGTTCATCGTTACTTACCCTAATGTTTTTCCATTTAGGGAAAGAGAGAGTAGATGACTATCTTTTTGTGCCCAGCAAACTGTTACTGCAGGAAAGAGCAACTGGAAAAGCTGGAACAAACACTTAAGTGCAACTAAAACTCTAATATCACTACATATATGCCAAAATCTAAACAGAAGCCTTGGGGTAGAGGGCTTAGGAGCTGGAAACAAAGCATTTCAGCTGTTGGAGAGCAGCTTTGTTGCAGAGGCACAACCAGACTTCACTTCTCATTGGGCAGTTTTATTTTAGAACAAATGTTTCTGCAACAGTATGGCTATGTTAATGATATAATGCATGCTTCCTGGGTGGTGTCAGTTTATGAACAAATGGTCTGTAGCTGCTGAACTAGGTCTTCCTCATGATAAAGATGGATTAAGCTTGAAAGGAAGCTGACAAACACCTAACAGCATTTGATTACCGGCAGTTTGCCAGGCATTAATATCTCCATGACCTCAGTGAAAACGGATGCCACAGAAAATGGTAGAAGAAACGTATATAAATAGCTTAACCAAATTGATGTGATGGGTTGCATCTCTGTAAGAGTGGCTGTCAACTTTTTCTTTTAAAACAGTCATCATACTCAGAATTCATTTGCATTTTTACTGCTAACTTCTGCAAGGGACTGAGTGGGACCCTTTAAACCTCCCCAGTCAGATTGGTGGTGTAGCATTTAGGAAAGCAGTACTGGGAGGCTTTCAATGTGGCTGCCACAAGGGCTGTGTCCATTTTCTGTTTAAAGAGCATCTTTAATGCTCTTGCCTAGTGCTTTTCAAGAGAACACAAGATGTACCTTAAAAAAATACAATAGTCGATTTATTTGGGAGTTTTTTTAATCTATTCATATTGTTAAGGAAATCATTTCAAAACCTTTGAAAGCAAAAAGCTGATCAGAAATAGCTTTTTCATAGCTGGTATTAGTATTATAAAGTTAATTCATTTGTTTAATCCCCTTCCAGATCTGTTCCATACATCCTCTTAGAAAAAGCACAAGGGTCCAAGAGTGCTTTTATGTAACATTCTGAAGATCTTTCCTGTCTGAAAGTTTTGAAAGAACTTCCAAAAATTAGCAAGTGTAAGCCAAAAGGCAACAAAATACCCACAAGAAAAAGTCCCAGGCTATTATGTCTAGTGTACCAAGAGATTTTGCTAAATTTCTTATTCTAAAATAGTACCCATTGACATTAACCACATGTAACAGATAAATCTGTCCTGAGGTCTCCTGTAATCTCACACTTCCTTCTTATACTTCTGAATGCACTGGAGAAAATCTAAACAGTGGGGGGAAAAAAAATCCCTAAAAACTATCCAAGAAACCTGTGTAAAAACAGGCAAACAATAAGAAAGTTCAGCTAGAGATGAGCAGAAAAATGCATACTTCTCAAAGCTTCAGCAGCATGCAGAAGATGCTTTTGCTCTGTGCAGTGGCTTTCTATTCTATCAGCGTATTGTTAATATCAGTGGTATTACTCCTAAGGTAGGACTTCTGAAAATGATGTACATTTGGCACAGTAGATGGATAGTATGGTGCCAGGAGAAAAAAAAAATCGACTTTCTAGGAACAGTTCCTGAAAAAAACTGGGTTCAAACATTGCAGTCTGGTATGCCTTTAAAGTCTTAGCTGTTCATAAGGTTTCCATTATCTTAGTATGTCTTTTTTACAGGCCCTGGTAGTGTGGTAGGTGCTTCAGTAGCCCTTATGAAAACAGTGCAGCCAACAGGGGAACAAAGAGTACATGTGTTAAAACAGTAAGAATTTGGGTTACCTAAAGGTGTTACGTCCACCACACTGATGAGCAGGTTAATTATGCACAATGAGAAGTTTGTTTCTTTTGTGAGACCACTGTGGTAGAGGTCCAGCTTCACGAATGAATTAATGAGAAGGAGCCTGGCAAAGTGGGCCGGCTGGAAAACTTGTACTCAGCAGAAGATGTAGAAACAGTCACAAGGATCCATTTTAGAGAAGCAAATGAATAGGGTATTTAGATTTGGGTACATGGACAATGTAAGGAATGTGAGGGCAGCTGCAATGAGGTGAGCAGTACTATCTAAAAGACATTAAGGCACAGGAAAGGAAAAATTGGTCCTCATTAACCTTAGCCCTCATTAACCTTGGCAGTATCCCTAATGCTTTGTCAAAGTATTAGTTGATTTAATTAAGTTAATCCTTCACCTCTCCCAGTAAATGGGCTGGAAGGAATCACAGCCCAAGCAAACTTCTGTTGATCAACGCAGAGGATCTAATTGGTACAAAACACCACTAGACACAGTTTAGCCAAAAAACCCAGCTGGCATCAGAACTAAAACAATATTATCAGCCTGAAAGATTTGTAGTCCTCTGGCATCCTTCTGTGAAAAAAAGTTTCATTTGCCTAAATGAGTGATTGATGGTAATGATCCTAGAGTAAGAAGATCAGGAATCATGAGCTTTTGCAGAGGTGAAAGGCCAAATGGTGAGATTAGAAGATGGCAGTTTAATTGAGAAAGGAAGGAGGAAATAGGTGGTAGAAAGGAAGGAGGAAATAGGAGGTAGAAGGAAAGAAGTAGGAATCTGGTTTAATTCTGGATATGAAGGAAGCAGGACCTACAAAGGTCAGACACTGATAATTTTGGCTGCCTCTTCATATCATGTTTATTTCCATCACAAATATTCAGGAATTGAGAGGCAATCAGTCCTCCTACAAAAGATTTACTTAATTTTAGAATAATGAAAACTGCATAATCTGAAATTTGTTGATATGAAATACAAGAGTGCAACTAGAGCAAAGCCTTGGAGGATACCAAGCCAGCACTGAGTTTTACACCAAAGGTATGTATGTGCTGTCCTGCAGCTATTTTGTGGGTAATGAATAGAAGCAGAACATTATGATCACCATTTTACCTCAGATTAGTATTTCTCTGCATCTCAGGCTTTTTTGAAAGAGGAAAAGTGTTCGGCTAAATTTTCCAAGAAACGCCAGCCCAGGTTGGTACAAAGTAACTGCCTGCTCCCTGTGTGGATCAAGACAACTTATGTTTCTCTTCAGACATCACATACAGCTCTTAAAAAAAAAAAAGGAACAGTGTGGCTCTGCCTTCATGAACCCTTGCAGTGTTCACCATTTTTTATCCATTTCGGTTATTTTCTTTATTCTTCTTACTGCTTGGTGTTTCTTCCCTTCTGCTGACTCCCCATTTGCAGGATTCTGTCAGAATGCTGGTCTTTTCTTCCCTCCTTTCTGTTTTGTGCCAAGAGGTGTTTCTGCTGTTGCAGATCCCTTCCTCAAGATATGAGTGACTAAAGCTGCTTTGATCTTGACTTGGCAGAGGCAGAAGCTCTTCTGCCTTGGGGTACTTTTCTTGCTTGTGCTAGCAGGGGGCTGGGGGGTAGAAAGGCACCTGAAGACAAGGGATAACTTCTATCCTTATGGGTCAATCTCACTACAGATTTTGTCCATGGAAGAGTTATCTTTGAGGGAGAAAATTGCATTGGTGCTCTACTTTCTCACCCATCTTCAAAGTTCAGTGCTGCCCACAGAGAGGAATGTGTAAGAGCAGACAGATCTTATTCAGTGGATATTCTTCTTATGTATGTTTAGAAACAGCTGAACTTAACCTTGGCAAGCAGGTTTTTAACTTGTGATTATCCTTATTGAGTTAACATAGATACAAGAAACTGAGTTGGAGTTATATCAAAATGTCTTCTTTTGTGCAAGCTACCAAGGGTTTATAACAACTTTAATTGAAGGAATTATTTCAAATCTGAGAGGGATGATCTGTGATGATCACATGACACCAGAGGTTAACGGTTAACTTCTAGTCAAGTTGCAGAGAGTCAGCAGGGCAAAACCCCAAAAAGAGAGAGATTGTCCAACATGCAGCAGCTTTTGCTTTCAGGTTTCCAGTTTATTCCCCAATATGTCAACAAAGTTGATATCTATAAAAAGATGTCCCAGTGATTCATATTATCAAAGCTACGTTTGCAGAGATGGCAGTAAAACTTCATTTTTTCTTTCCTATTGGTAGAGAACCCTTTCGTTTGTTACCTATTCATTTTTATACACCTGCAGAGTAATTTATTTGTAAACAGAACACATGGATAGAAGTTGTACTTTGTCCCTTCACTAAACGAGTTCCTAGGAAATCAGAATACCAGTGTGAGGGCTGTATAAATGCACTGTTAAAAGGATTGTCAGCCAAGGAAGAGAGAATTCATGTACAAGAAAAATAAGGCCCCCCAAGCTTGTTTTCGTTTATTTCTGTCATATCAACCTCCAAAATTGCAGCTACTGCTCTACACTGAAACGTATCATGGTAATCAACACCTGAAAGGATAATGATGCTTCATCAAGGCTCTGCTTTCAATTTTTCATAGAAATCTGAACCATGATGGCTATATAAACCTAATCTTTGGGGTTGGGAATCATTTTCCATTGTTGCTGTCCCTGCAATGAGTACATTCCTTACAGCTTTGGCCTGACCTGCGTTTTTCCACCTCAGACCCTGTTGGCTGAAGTTGCTTGGTATCTCCAAGCTCTCCAGATGATGTAG